AAGTTCTTCGGGGAGCCAGTTTGGTCTTTTATTAAAGAAATGTTTGATCAACTCATAATGAAGTTTGATTGTTTCATGATGGAAAATATAAATTTTTAAATTCTGGTTTTAGATCCCAACACCAGATTTTTGTTATGGCAGAGTTTGTTTGGACGCGGAGGAAAAGCAACGTAAGGAGTTAGTGGTGATCTACTTGCTAGAGGTGATATTTCGAGCAAATTTGTTAATTTAAATGGAGTTGATAGTGAACTTGATGATTTTATTGTTCAAGGTGATTTGAACAAGTTTGGTGTCCCAAGGTAATTCTACTCGTAAGCAGTGCTTGAACTCAGTTCACAGTTTCTCAGTTTGTTCTATTTGGGCTTTGTGGAGGAGGTGGAGTGTTTTGTTTGGAGAATTTTGTAGGAATTTAAGAGTTAAGTTTTATTCCTTGTAGTGGAATTCGTCTTCAGGTGAAGAATTTTTGAAACTTCATTCTTTACTTTGGAATTCGTGTCAAGGTGGAGATTTGTTAGAATTTCAGCATGAGGTATATTTGGAGTTGGTTGTTTGATTAGGAGAAGAAGAAGACTACAGGAGTCAAAGCAGTGTTTTGGACTCCTATTGCAACTCAAATACTCCGTTATTGGTATTACCTATTGTAATAGAACTTCATCGTTTGTTAGACTCTTATTTCTATTATATTCTCCTAGTGCGTTAGGGATTATTTAATTATAAAAAAAGTGGTGTACAATACATGTTGAGATTCACCAATTGTCCAACTTATTAGTTTGGTCCAGGGAGATTCCTTGTACTCCATTGTGATGGAATGTAGAAGACAAAGAGGAGGGAAATTGTTCAATCTAATTCAACAAAGATAGTGAATCATGGCTGATACGTATAGCCATACATTTGGTACAATTCAAAAAGATTTCCAACAACTGTTCTACCAACTACAGCTAAACCATGCTTGTCAAAACAATAACTTGTAGTAGGTGTAAACTAACCTAACAATTCATCATTACGTGTGTTAGACATTAATCAAAAAAATATTGTTGAGTGACAACAAAAATGTCACACAAGGTTCATCACATTGCTATTGATTTATAGTGAATTATACGCATCTGTCCGTGGTTCTCCCCACTACAAAAAAAAACCGATTTCGCGACAAACAAATGTTGTCGCAAAAATTGAGTTTTTGTTGCAAAAGTAATTTAGCGACAACAATACGTTCGTTGCGGGTATTGTCGCTCTATATGAGTCACAGAATGTGTTTTGCAACGACTTTCGTACATTCGTCGCAGTAACAAAATCGCGACACTATTTGTTTGACGCA